AGGCTGGGGCAGCCCAGCACCGGGCGCTCCGATACTCATAGGGCAGTCGGGTGGGGGCTGACAAGCAAGATTCATATAAACTGCAGCAAGTCCATCCCTTCATCCCTACACACACCTGGCCGACTGCCTGTCCCCTACACAGCCCTCTGGCCGACTGTCTGTCCCCTACACACCTCTCTGTCCATCTGCCTGTCCTCTACAAAGCCCTCTAACCGGCCGTCTGTCCCCTACACAGCCCTCTGTCCGACTGCCTGTCCCCTACACACCTCTCTGTCCATCTGCCTGTCCTCTACAAAGCCCTCTAACCGGCCGTCTGTCCCCTACACAGCCCTCTGTCCGACTGCCTGTCCCCTACACACCTCTCTGTCCATCTGCCTGTCCTCTACAAAGCCCTCTAACCGGCCGTCTGTCCCCTACACAGCCCTCTGTCCGACTGCCTGTCCCCTACACACCTCTCTGTCCATCTGCCTGTCCCCTACACACCTCTCTGTCCATCTGCCTGTCCCCTACACACCTCTCTGTCCATCTGCCTGTCCCCTACACACCTCTCTGTCCATCTGCCTGTCCCCTACACACCTCTCTGTCCATCTGCCTGTCCCCTACACACCTCTCTGTCCATCTGCCTGTCCCCTACACACCTCTCTGTCCATCTGCCTGTCCCCTACACACCTCTCTGTCCATCTGCCTGTCCCCTACACACCTCTCTGTCCATCTGCCTGTCCCCTACACACCTCTCTGTCCATCTGCCTGTCCTCTACAAAGCCCTCTGTCCGACCGCCTGTCCTCTACACAGCCCTCTGTCCGACTGCCTGTCCCCTACACACCTCTCTGTCCATCTGCCTGTCCTCTACAAAGCCCTCTAACCGGCCGTCTGTCCCCTACACAGCCCTCTGGCCGGCCGTCTGTCCCCTACACAGCCCTCTGTCCGACTGCCTGTCCCCTACACAGCCCTCTGGCCGACTGCCTGTCCCCTACACAGCCCTCTGGCCGACTGCCTGTCCCCTACACAGCCCTCTGGCCGACTGCCTGTCCCCTACACAGCCCTCTGGCCGACTGCCTGTCCCCTACACAGCCCTCTGGCCGACTGCCTGTCCCCTACACAGCCCTCTGGCCGACTGCCTGTCCCCTACACAGCCCTCTGGCCGACTGCCTGTCCCCTACACAGCCCTCTGGCCGACTGCCTGTCCCCTACACAGCCCTCTGGCCGACTGCCTGTCCCCTACACAGCCCTCTGGCCGACTGCCTGTCCCATCTGCCTGTCCCCAACACAGCCCTCTGGCCGGCCGCCTGTCCCCAACACAGCCCTCTGTCCATCCCCACACATCCATCCATCCATCCATCCCCCTATACACACCTCTGCCTATCCGTCCATCTGTCCCCCTCACACCTCCATCCATCCATCCCCATACATGCCCTTCTAGCTGTCCAGCCAGCCACTCGTCTGTGTGTCCGTCCCCATACACGCCCACCCGCTATCTCTCCATCCAGCCCCTGTGGTCCCTGGGGGTTCATGGAGCCTGCTCAGGACAATGACCTGGAGCTTAGGGCAGCCGAGGAACCAAAGGTATCAAGGGTCCTACCCAGAGAGCCACGTTCGTGGGACTCACCCCAAATCCAGGAACTTCCTGCGGGTCTTCTTGTCCAGCCCGATGGTGGGGCTGGCAGGCTCTGGCGGGCTGGCGTCATCTGGAGCAGGGAACACGCAGGGAGAGATCAAAGGGCCGGGGAGAACGGCTCCTGTCTGGTGGAGCTAGGCCCGGGGGGCCCCGGAAGGTTGGCAGCAGCCCCAGGGCAGGACAGTCTGCTGGGAAGCCTGGGGGAGTCCGCCTGCTCAGCCAGGTGATTTCGTCCCCCAAGCACAGGCGAAGCCCAGCTCTGACTCCCCCCAGCCCTGCGGGACAGGGGCAGGCCCCCAACCTCCGTGCAGCCTGGCAAAGCCACCGGGAACCAGCTGGGACTCGGGCCCTGCTGCTCACAACCCAGCCCCCACAGCGCCAGCCTCCCCCAGCAGGAGGCGCTGCGGGGAGGGTTTCCCGCTGTTACCTTCGCTGTGCCGCTCCGCCCGGCGGTCCCTCCGGGTGTAGATGGGCGAGCTGTCCGAGCTGTGGCAGGACTTGGGGGGCGAGCTGGTGGGGGTGCATCCCAAGGCCTCCTGGGAGGACGCGTTGGTCAGGGGCTGGTAGCGGGTCAGCGGGGACGAAGGCTGCTCGTCCTCCTCCAGCGTCCGCCGGACAACGGAGGCGTCGAAGGAGAACTCGGTGGCGCGGAGGAAGGGGGAGGAGCTGGAGAGGGGCGAGGCCTGCAGGGAGGCGTGCAGCGGGGATCTCAGGCGGTGCCGTGGGCTGCCCACGTTATCGGCCTCCTGTTGGTCAGGGGCTGGTAGCGGGTCAGCGGGGACGAAGGCTGCTCGTCCTCCTCCAGCGTCCGCCGGACAACGGAGGCGTCGAAGGAGAACTCGGTGGCGCGGAGGAAGGGGGAGGAGCTGGAGAGGGGCGAGGCCTGCAGGGAGGCGTGCAGCGGGGATCTCAGGCGGTGCCGTGGGCTGCCCACGTTATCGGCCTCCTGTGGGTGGGACGGGGGGTCAGCAATGGGAAGGACCCTGCGACCCCCTGCCCCAGGAGCTGCTGTGTTCCCTGGGGCAGCCCCTATGTATCTACAGTGCTGGAGCAGGGCAGGGCCGGCTGCTCCCCACCCCACTGGTGAGGGCCCCACAGGGACCATCGGCCAAGCCTTCCATAGCACCAGGGTGCACAGGGCTTGCAACCACAGAGCAGAGCAACATTGGATCAGACCATTGCTGGTACTCCCCTCTGCCTGCTACATTGGATCAGACCATTGCTTGTCTCCCCCTCTGCCTGCCACATTGGATCAGACCATTGCTGGTACTCCCCTCTGCCTGCTACATTGGATCAGACCATTGCTTGTCTCCCCCTCTGCCTGCCACATTGGATCAGACCATTGCTGGTACTCCCCTCTGCCTGCTACATTGGATCAGACCATTGCTTGTCTCCCCCTCTGCCTGCCACATTGGATCAGACCATTGCTGGTACTCCCCTCTGCCTGCTACATTGGATCAGACCATTGCTTGTCTCCCCCTCTGCCTGCCACATTGGATCAGACCATTGCTGGTACTCCCCTCTGCCTGCTACATTGGATCAGACCATTGCTTGTCTCCCCCTCTGCCTGCCACATTGGATCAGGCCATTGCTGGTATCCCCCTTCTACGGCCACTCTCCATCCGGCCATTGCTCCATCTCGTCTGGAATCCCCCT